AAGTGGCCTTGCACTCTGACAAAACAGCAGATAACTCAAGCAACGGCCGTTGCCAGAGTACCAGATCACCTGCTCAATTTGTGAATACCCCTTATGTTTTAAACAATAATTATGCCCCTTTGCAAAGGAAGAAGGCTATTGGAAAAGCTATTGACATACCAATGAAAATAAGAGAATGATTCCCGATATATTATTACGTTCTTAATGTATCTAGAATGGTGTGCTTGTATCGAATATTCGATTTAATGTGGTAGCCATTTCAATATTTAAGAATCTGTAATAAAATTCTTTATCAAGGCTTTATACCATATGTCTCCGTAGAGCAAAAAGTCTATTTAGCTTGCTAAATAGAGCGTAGAGTTGACATAGAGTTTTCGATATAGCTGCGTTGGACTGTGTACACGGCGAAAAAGTCTCGCTAAATAACTCTCAAGTAGACTTTGTAGGTGAGTCTCCCGTAGAACTCTATTGAGTGTTTACACGTCTCTAGCGAGATTTTTGTCTAAATCTCGCGTTTTTTCTCTACCGTGTACACTTAGCTTAAGGAAACTGCTCCGATAGATGCATTTAACATACCTGCCTTAAACATTTGCAACTATTATCAATTATCAAAGAAAGTATTACGTTTACCTGCACTGGCTCTAAAATAATAATAATAATTGATTGGCGCTTACACATATGTTAGTGTTTGGCCGAGCTTCTCCTCCGAATTGTGGCGTGCGCCTTGATGTTGTCACACAGAGCGGAGGGACCTACAGTTTTACGCCGACTCCGAACGGCGATTGTATTATTATGAGAACCTTTTTTTTCGCAGAAAAACACTCGGAGGCTTGCCATTGCCTGCCGAGGGACGACCGCTGTTAAGAAAAAAACTTTTTTCTATATTTTTTTGCGATGTTGCTTTGACCAGGGTTTGAACCCAGGTGCTACGGAGTGGAAGCGCGCACTGGTTACCACTACACCACAGCGGCCGACAGGGCTCTACACTTACCCTAATTTTACAAGCTTTTATTTATTTTGCTCATCTTGCAGAAGAACGAAAAGGGCTATAATTTTATGTAGTTATATAGATTATTAGATATCATTCGAAAAAAGATTCGCTTGCAGTAATTTCTACGCGGCAAGTGATCCTCCATTATTTGGTTTCATAGGGATTCGGATACCTTCCTCATTGAAGTAGCAAAGAAAATTCGCTTAAGTGCTCTTTTCGGTTAAGCGCACAAGGCAGCTAAGCAAAATATACATACTGTACATATTTAGGTTGTGGTTTATAATCACAACTGCTCCAACTTTTAGTATCAACTCATGAGGTGCAACTCCCCTACTTCTACTTGCTCCTGTGGATATTTAGAAACGACAGTAGAACGTATTATTATTATTATTATTTAGACGCTGGTATGAATACCAGTACTAAAGATGTTTATGAGCACTGGCTTCCGAGACCATCAGCTCTAGATAGATAGATAGATAGATAGATATTAATATGAGGTGTGCATGCGACCTGGTGATCTATTGTGCCCTCTTCTCTTCACATCGCTTCATCTAAGCCCAGCTCCCTCAGAAAGTTCAATAGTGCCTTCGGGGGTAGGGGGTGGATGTGCTCGAGCTGTGGCCACAACGAGCCTAAACTCCTCTCACGTCTTCTGCAGACTGCCTCACATTCGGTGAGAATGTGAAGCGGCGTCTCACTGGTCAGGTCACATAACCTACAAAGATCATTCGACCATATGCCCAGCTTATGTAGGTGACCCCTAAGTCTGCAGTGTCCTGTAAGGAAACCTGTTAAAATTCTAAGCCTCTCTTTTGGGAGGTTTATGAAGCCCTAAAATCTTTTCTTGTTAAACCCTCCCAGTAAACTCTTTGCCTGGCGCATTCCTGCCGAACTACGCCAGTTAAAATTCCTTAGTGTGAGCCTCTCTCTCCTGAGCTCCTTTATGGTATTGAGTCCTACTCCCAGGAAGGGATCTAGGCCAACTGTCCCTGTGTCCTGTAAGGAAACCTGTTAAAATTCTAAGCCTCTCTTTTCGGAGGTTTATTAAGCCCTAAAATCTTTTCTTGTTAAACCCTCCCAGTAAACTCTTTGCCTGGCGCATTCCTGCCGAACTACGCCAGTTAAAATTCCTTAGTGTGAGCCTCTCTCTCCTGAGCTCCTTTATGGTATTGAGTCCTACTCCCAGGAAGGGCTCTGGGCCAACTGGAGTGATGGCTGCCGCCTCTCTAGCCAGGCAGTCTGCAACCTCATTACCCTCTACTCCCTTATGGCCGGGCACCCACGCTAACCTGGTGTTATTGTGCCTGCCAAGGGAGTTTAACTTCTCAATGCACTTAAGGACCAGTANAATTATAATTTTCTCATTTCTATACCCTCTACTCATGATTGTTTCCGCACATAGGTAGATTACATAGACTTCTGCTTGGAAGATGCTCGGGTATTTCCCCATAGGAACAGAGATTCTTGTTCTGGGCCCAAGGACTCCTGCCCCTACTCCGTCTGGGGTCTTCGAGCCATCCGTGTACCAGTGCAGGGTGCAATCCTGGAGTAGTCCCTCGAATGCGGGGAGGCTCCAGGTTGTTTTTCTGCATAACTCTATCTTAAATCTCTTCTCAAATACTATAGTTTTTTCTATGTCATCTCTAGGGAACAGAGCAAGCGGGATCGAGAGATATTAATATGAGGTGTGCATGCGACCTGGTGATCTATTGTGCCCTCTTTTCTTCACATCGCTTCATCTAAGCCCAGCTCCCTCAGAAAGTTCAATAGTGCCTTCGGGGGTAGGGAGTGGATGTGCTCGAGCTGTGGCCACAACGAGCCTAAACTCCTCTCACGTCTTCTGCAGACTGCCTCACATTCGGTGAGAATGTGAAGCGGCGTCTCACTGGTCAGGTCACATAACCTACAAAGATCATTCGACCATATGCCCAGCTTATGTAGGTGACCCCTAAGTCTGCAGTGTCCTGTAAGGAAACCTGTTAAAATTCTAAGCCTCTCTTTTGGGAGGTTTATGAAGCCCTAAAATCTTTTCTTGTTAAACCCTCCCAGTAAACTCTTTGCCTGGCGCATTCCTGCCGAACTACGCCAGTTAAAATTCCTTAGTATGAGCCTCTCTCCTGAGCTCCTTTATGGTATTGAGTCCTACTCCCAGGAAGGGCTCTGGGCCAACTGGAGTGATGGCTGCCGCCTCTCTAGCCAGGCAGTATGCAACCTCATTACCCTCTACTCCCTTATGGCCGGGTACCCACGCTAACCTGGTGTTATTGTGCCTGCCAAGGGAGTTTAGCTTCTCAATGCACTCAAGGACCAGTGAGGATTTGACTTCATAGGATAGAAGAGCCTTGAGTGCCGCCTGACTATCGCTCAAAATTATAATTTTCTCATTTCTATACCCTCTACTCATGATTGTTTCCGCACATAGGTAGATTACATAGACTTCTGCTTGGAAGATGCTCGGGTATTTCCCCATAGGAACAGAGATTCTTGTTCTGGGCCCAAGGACTCCTGCCCCTACTCCGTCTGGGGTCTTCGAGCCATCCGTGTACCAGTGCAGGGTGCAATCCTGGAGTAGTCCCTCGAATGCGGGGACGCTCCAGGTTGTTTTGCTGCATAACTCTATCTTAAATCTCTTCTCAAATACTATAGTTTTTTCTATGTCATCTCTAGGGAACAGAGCAAGCGGGATCGAGAACCCTAGATTCTCCATATTCCTAGAGGATATGACCTCACCTTTTCCACATCCCTCTAGCAAAGCTAAGCAGAGTTCTTTTGGCTACCTATGGTTATGTGAAGAGGCTCGAGTTCGAGGACTACTTCCAGCGCCGCCGTCGGACATGTGCGCATTGCTCCAGTTATGCATACACAAGCCAGTCGTGGTAGCTTGGTGAGTGATTGCCTCACCGAGGCCAGAGTAGTTCTTGAAACCCAATCCACCGCCCCATAAGTAATCATTGGCTGTACTATCATGATGTAAAGCCATCTTAGGATCTTGTGGCTACAACCCCAGGATTTTCCTGCTAGACGCTTACACACTATTAACGCTTGACTCTGGAGGGGATCGCGTCCACATGCTTCTTCCATAGAAGTTTGGTGTCTAGGATTATTCCCAGATACCGACCCGATCACGACCCCCTCCAGGGTTATGTCTCTCATGCCCAGCAGGGCTCTTTTCTTGGTAAATGGGATGATGGCGGTTTTGGCGGGATTGATGTTAAGGCCTAACTTAGCACACCATCCTTTTGTTAATCTTGAGCCTCTTTGAATAATGTCGCAGAGGGTGCTCTCAAACTTTCCCCTGGCAATGATCACTATTTCATCCGCATAGCCTTGGCACCGGATATCATTGTCGGAGAGAAGCTGAAGGAGTTCATCCACCACCTGTGCGTCCCCTACCTCGTTACACATTGGTGGCAAACCAATTAAATTTGTGTCAAAAGTAACTAACCTTGGGTTTATTATCAACACTGGCCTTAATTCAACTGTAAGCAAAGTCTATAATACTTTAAGGAATTTACGAATGTCTGCTCCATTCACACCGAGAGAAATCAGACGTAAACTCGCAATCCAACTTATAATGTCAATTATCTGTTATTCTGAGGTAGTCTACAGCAGGTTAGATTCCCAATCAGCTCACAAAATAGATGTACTATTTAACCAGATCACGCGCCATGTGTTTGGGCTAGCAAAATATGAGCATATTTCCCCTTGGAAAACGCGCCTACTTGGCTGCGAAATTTCTGAATATCTTAAAGCTAGAAATTGTATATTCCTTTTTCGTCTGATGACAGATAAGGCACCAAAATATCTTTATGAAAAATTAAGGTTCCCCAAATCCACTCGAGTAAAGGACTTGACTGTTCCTGCCTACAATTATCTCAGCTCTGCACGGCTATTCTTTGTCAATGCTATCCGCATCTGGAACTCTATTCCATCCCATATTCGCAGTAGTTTAAACAAAAGCAACTCTAAAAATGTTCTGTATGCGTATTTCCGTTAGCTTCACTCCAGTCCCTGAGATGTGCTCTCTATGTAATTAAACTTATGTAATTAAACTATGTAAATTAACTATTAATATTTCAGCTTGATGAAATTTTGGTTCACTTCCTGGATTATGTTTAATAATTCAAATTTTAACAGGATTATTTTTAGCTATACATTATAAAGCAGATATTAATTTAGCATTTAATAGTGTTAATCATATCTGTCGAGATGTAAATTACGGCTGATTATTACGAACTTTACACGCCAACGGTGCATTCTTTTTCTTTATTTGCATTTATTTACATGTGGGACGAGGTATTTACTATGGATCATATTTATTTACTCCAACATGATTAGTAGGAATACTAATTTTATTTTTAGTTGTAGCAACAGCTTTCATAGGATATGTATTACCATGAGGACAAATGTCTTTTTGAGGAGCAACAGTTATTACAAATTTATTATCAGCAATTCCTTATCTAGGAACTACTTTAGTTCAATGAATTAAGGGCGGTATTGTCACTTGCGAAGCGAATTAAAAGGCAGAGAAGGTATTAAAAGTGTGCGCGATGCGAAGACTTGCACCAGCTGGTAAAAGCGAGCACTCTTAATGCATATTTAAGTTGCGTCCGCCAATCCATTCGCTTCGCCAAACCGTTCGCTTCGCCAAATTCATTCGCTTCGCAAGTGACAATACCGCCCTAAGTCTTATTTTAAGTATATGTCCTGGAATTGTAGAACTCACTTAAAAATAATACTTTCTCTAAGTAATTTTTGCTGTTTTAGTTATATGTATGTACTGTTATGAATTTTTTGTTGCGGTATAAAAAATCTTTCTTTTGATCTTATTGTGCTAATGATTTTATTAATAAATGAAATGAAATGGACCACTAAGCTCCACAGAAGAGGAGATAAAACCCCTCCCTGTGGGCAGCCTTTTGTTGTTAGTAGCTGTACCACGCTGTCCCCCACCTTGGTTTCAGCAATTCTAGTACGCAACAGCGTATCCACCCGGTTGCAGATCACTGGCTGCACGTTTCTCTTCTATAGTGCCCTCCGCATTCCAGTGTGAGACGTATTGTCGAACGCTCCTTCTATATCGAGGAAAGCGCAGAGCACTGTAAATAAGGTAAACCCTATTCAAAAACCTCTAAAAATATTCCTAATGATTAATCTAAACCATTTCTCAGTGCTGAGAGGTCTCGCATGGTGTCGGTTTTCGTTTCATCAAATTTCAAATCTCCCTGTAACTTCAAAAAATAAAACCTGTGCACATCTATGTAGAATCCCAGCTCTTTAATTTTACTTCCCATTTCGGAAATCCGAGATAACGGTGCAGATGTGATGACCTTCAAAAAAAGTAGATGGCAACTCTAATTAAAAATATCAGCCTATAGTTTTCTTAAAACTCTTTCGTTTGACACCAATATTTCGATATTTCATTTATGTATCTTTCGTATAAGTAAAACAAATTCGACTTCAAAAAGGTGGCAACCCCTTTAAAAGTATTTTCAAACTAAAATTTTTCGCCTGACATTGTTATTTCAATTAGCTGATGAATTAAGTTGAATTTATTTTTTTAATCACATGGCAACTCTCCTAAATACAGTTTAGAAATAAATTATTTTCAAACCCATTTCGATTGATACTCATCTTTTTACAATCCATTTAACTTATTAAATAATTTGAGTTAAATTTTTTCAAAAAAAAGAAACCAAATGTTCAGCATAAAGATTTCTTAACACTCGTTCTTTTGATAACCATATTTTAAAATTTCATGTAACTTATGTATAATTAAACGAAATACCACTTTCAAAACAGGCGGCAACCCTCTTAAAAACTATTTTCGAACTAAAATTTCCTAAAATATTTTTCGTTGACATTGTTATAAATATTTCATGTAACTGATGAATTAAGTGGAAATTTATTTTTTAAACACGTGGCGATCTTCCGAAATGTAGTTCTTAAATAAACGATTTTAAACTCATTTGCATTGATAACCATTGGTTAGTAATTCATTTAACTTATTAAATAATTTTAGTTTAGCCCTTTAAACTGGGGTAACTCTCAAACACATCAAAAATGTTCTAAATTCTCAAACTAAGCACTTCTTGAAGCTTTTTCATTGTAGTTCAATTAGACTTCTCAAATAGGTGGCAACCCTATTCAAAATATTTTCAAACTACTACCTTCTTAAATCTCTTTTGTATGACCCCCAAATAGCGATACCTTATTCACTTACCAAATTCCTTTAATTGAAATTGAATTACATTTTTTTAACATGTGGCAACCCTCCTATACGTAGTTAAGTTATAAAGCCTTTTCAAAACCATTTCGATTGATACCCATATTTAATAATTGATTTAACTTTTTTATTAATTTAAACTTAATTTCTTAACAGGTGGCAACTTTTTTCGAAAAAGTAAAACCTTGAACACCCACACCCTAAGCCCTTTAATTTGGTACCTCACTTTTGAAAATCGAACGGACGGTGCGGTTCTGAGGGCTTTGATTATTAAATTATATTAATGCAATTTTTTACCAGGTGGCAACTCTTTTCGAAAATGTCAAACCTTATTGCACATCTACAGACCAAGCGCTTTAATTTGACATCTCATTTTTGAAAATCGGGCGAACGGTACAGATCTTTTATGCTGCACAAAAAATGCCTTCGCGTATTATATATATAGATTCGATTTAGAATGTCCACGACTTAGCTTTCCTTGATTCCATATATACACATTTGATGTTGATGTTTGATTTGATTAAAGTGAGTTTAAAACACCCCATATTTAAATTGGGGCCACTTGTATCTACCCACGTCAGCGAACGTTTCGTACATTCAAGGCTTTTCTTCGCGAAAATCTAATAAAAATGCTGCTAGAAAGCTTCAAAATGCATCTTGTGGTTCAATGTTACTACAACTATAGAGATTAAAGTTTTGGGAGTTAACTAGAAAAGATAAAATAGTCGAAGATTCAAAGTACAAATTTTTCATAAAATGAAACTAGTTCATAGTTTTTCTCTTTTTACTTGTAAAATAAACATTTCTAAAGTAAATGTATATTTTGATTTTTTTTTTGGTTTTGTTAGTGCCTTCTTTTGCCTTTTTTGTGATTTCTAGTGTATTTTCCTGCCTATTTCGCTATTTTATTTTACCTTTTCTAGCCTATTTCGTTATTTGATTTTGCCTTTTTTGTAGGTTTTAGGTCCTAAAAATCCGCTCCCTGATGATAACCAATCTACTGACTTCTGGGGCCGGGTTGTTTTCACGGATGAATCCCAATTTAATCTGCTTGGATCTGATGGCAGTTCGTTTATTTTTCGAAAAGAAGGTGAGGCAATAAATAATAATAATTTACCCAACACGATAAAACAAGCGCAAGTGTCATGGTATGAAACAAACAGCGTCGGAAAGCACCATACCTAAAGTGGACCACTTGGAAATTTGAAAGAATGCCTAGCACAATCAGCTGCCAAATTAAATATATACTACAATTTTTGCCCTGTACGGGACAATGATCCAAAACATTCGTCGCTAATAGTAAGAAAGCGTCGTGTACAATGTAAAAAGTTGCTTGCTCATATTTCCCAGAGCCCTGACCCCAACCCAATAGAGCATCTGTGGGTTTACATGGAATAAAAAATACGTACCTATAAATTACGGACGAACTATTATCTTTTATTCTTCTTTTCTTAAATGTGGCTGCACTCTTCTAACTTCTAACACTTCTGTGTTCGGAATGTATATGTACATATACTAACCTGCCGTGTATATTTCAAAGTGTAGAGTAGATCAAATTTTGTTTGTTTGGAAATTCATAAAAGCTACCTCATATTATTGTAATTTATAAAAAAATAAAATACAATTTGTTTTAGGTCGCGCTGGTCGGTTTTTTATAAAAATGCTGATGTTCTAATTTTTTTATTTTCGTGACATGTTAAAATGCAACTAAAAATGCGGTTTTTACATGTAATTACTCTGGTATTATTGCGTACATACCTGTCTTGGACAGTTAGAATGGGCCTAGTTCCCGAAAATGTGCTTTCTTTCGAAAAGAGACTATGTTATGTAAGGCGGGCGGCATGCAGGCATGCTCGCTGGCCCCAGCTAGCTCGTCGGATGGAGGGGGGGGTTGCTTTCACCCGCCTTACACCCAGCCTACACAAACAAAAAAAAGTCATGCCTGAAAGTGTATGCTAAGTGGGAGCGAAGAAAGACTAAAGTAAAGTGAAAGTGAAGAAAAAGAATCGGTCCTGTCAGGTGGAGTCGTCCCACCCACTTCTGCGCACATTCTCCACGCAGCCTTGGACGCTGCTGCGACTCCTCACACTTAGCAGCATCCCCTTAGCCTGACTTTGGTCCGTCTGTCTAATCGTCAGTCACTTCCTAGTCCGTATAGTCATCCTGTCTACACTCTCACTCCCCCTCTATGCTCAAGCGCAACACCTGCACCAAAAGGATTTAGCTTAGCACACCATTAAAGTAGCCTATACCCTTCACCCAAGAAAATAGAGATACCGTTTATTGTCCTACCAACTCAGGTTACAATACCATTATTTTTGCTTACCTAATTCTAACCTTAGCTCTCTAAATATCTCCAGTTACCATAATTCAAACTAGCTCTTAACGTATTAATCCTTTAGAAGTAGAACAAAAGAAATCTTACTTTAACCTCAAACTCCACTACAATTCAGAGAAACCGAGTAAAACTCAATTTAAATCAATACTTAAACTAAATCTTATTATTAATTAATCCCAAGAAAAAATAAACAAAAAAAAAGAAATCTTACTTCAACCTCAAACTCCATTATAATTCCAAAAAGCACAAACTTAACTTAAGCCAATAATTCGAATTGTATATGCAAATATTACGAAATTCAATTCAATTGAGCACTATTTATATCTAAATATCTGAACCCGCGCGATGCAGATACATATACGAGTATCCAGCCGAATTACTCAAAATAACCTAACTATATGTATATTTATATTAAACTCCTGCGCAATACCATTTAAACAGCCTAACAAGACATCCGATAGCCGATGCGTACAATTGAAACCATGGGTCTGAAGATTGCGCAAATTGGTGTGAAAATTTCAATTTCATATTAAATATATTTATGTATGCATGTACATATGTAAAAATGTAGTTTCGATTTAAAAAAATCGGATAAAGTTTTTCTTTCGCCATATATACACCTCTGATTTTAGTATTTATTAAAAAAAACTCAATGAAATTCAAAAACTATCTCTTGCATTTGGTTTTACTCAATACCGATTTGAGCTGTCGCACAGTGTTATCAAAAAAANGCAATCGCACCAGTTACTGAGCTGTTTCGCCTTCTGAACGTGCCAAATGAAAATTCGTTTCTCTTGAAATCAAGTTATATGGCTGCGTATGTATGTACATATGTACATATTTCCAATTTTTTTTATGTGTATAGGCTCTCAAGAAGAACTAAAAATTCATATCAAATTACGCGCAATAAATGGAAATTAAATTTGCTTCTATTAAAAATTTCTTAAATCAGTATGCAGCTCTTAAGAAAAAATGCTCGTACATCTCGTCGCTACCATGTCCAACTATCGAATGTGAAAATCGGACTTTACAAAATTTTGATTTGCCACTAATAATTTTATTTCGTATAGCAGCATTGCTTAAGTTATTGTTTTTGAAAACTTATTTTTTGGTTAATGACTGCAAATTATAGAAAATTAGAAACGAANAGATTTGCTACTCCCTTTTGGCAGCAGCAAATATCTCTCGTACGCGATGAGAGAAAGTAGAGTACCTACTTTGGTGGAGTAATAGCAAGTACGTTAAGTATTTACTCTCTCAACGCCAAGTAGTGTATGTATGCGGAAAAAGAGTAACAATGTGTTGGGAGTAGAGTACAATGCAAGGAGGTCACTCTAGCGCTGATGGTACCAACATGCTGTTGAGGACTGCTGTAAAAAGGGAGGCTAAAAATATATAATCATACACATATGCATACATTGGCTCCAGCAGAGCAGAGGTGCTGATGCTTTTACTGCTTATTGCCCTAGTCACTCACTCGCTGTAGCGGGCGACGAGTGGGTCTTGTGTACGAAAAAAAATGTACAAATAAAAAGATGACTGAAGAAAATGAACGCGATAACAAAAATTTAAATTATGTGAAACGTGGTGTTCGAATGCGTCGATTTGACCCTCGATCAATGAAAAAAAGTGCCCATGGAAATCTAACAACGAACCGAAAAAGGTGGAAAGAAATTCAAAAAATAAAATTAAAATAAAAAAATCCAAGAGAAGAAACGATCAAATGATACCCTACTAATTACTAATTATAGATTTACAATTCAAAGAAACCTGGCACAGTAAAAAACAAAAGCGAAATGCCAGAATATAAGAATAATGCAACAAAAAAACAAAGTGAACTAGTGGTAGGTAATAATGAGAAAAAAAGAATTTATGCATAAATAAATGAGCTAAGTTACTTTCCCTGTTTAGGCCTTCAGCCTAAATGTTTTTCACACTTTTAGTGAACCGCCCTAATGCTGGTATATGTACATACATGCATATATACTATACGCTCATACATGCTCATATGTATTAACAACAGCTAAGCCGTTAACCAATGTATCACGCCGGACAATGAACCTTCGATAAGTTTCCCCTTAACGTCAGTTATTGTCCGGCGGTCCAAAATTAGAAACCGCAAATTATATTTGTCACTTCTTTTTGGAGATCAAAGAGGACACAACGCAGCTACCAGGCCTTCCTAAAGGTAATCGAAACCGCATTTGTCGATAGTGATATATATATATTTATGCCTATGTTTAGGCCTTCAGCCTAAATGTTTTTCACACTTTTAGTGAACCGCCCTAATGCTGGTATATGTACATACATGCATATATACTATACACTCATACATGCTCATATGTATTAACAACAGCTAAGCCGTTAACCAATGTATCCCGCCGGACAATGAACCTTCGTTAAGTTTCCCCTTAACGTCAGTTATTGTCCGGTGGTCCAAACTTAGAAACCGCAAATTATATTTGTCACGTTTTTTTTGGAGATCAAAGAGGACACAACGCAGCTACCAGGCCACTTCCTAAAGGTAATCAAAACCGCATTTGTATAGGCATAAATATAGATATATATCACTATCGACATAGTTTATAGTTTATATATTTTATTTTATTTTTATTTTTTATTTTTTTGTTGGGTGGCGAGGAATTAAATAAATAAAGTAAAACGGTTCGGCGAGAAAGTTTCGTTTTCCTTTTGCAAGTCTAAAATTTGCGATCTAAGCAGGGCGTTTTTGGGCATATCGAAACTGGAAACTGGGACGTGTAAACGCAGAATTACCCATGTATTTTGGTTGATGGGTCACACCGGTACTATATATTTTCCTATGCAGGGTTGTACAGGAAGACAAAAAATAAATGTTGACCTGACATTATGGTAATTTTAACAAATTTCAAAGGCAATCATGAGAAAGTGTCAAACTGAAGGCATTCGCAAAAAATTTGTTTTTTGTTATTTTTTTTCTAATATCTGACATAAATTCTGCCAATGTCAAACAAACTTTCTTTGTACTTTGGAGACTTTTTTGTTGAGCCACGATCGACACCCAACTGCCTAGCGGCACGAAACAAAGTTGAAGTGCCACTGTATGTGACCATTGCCAATAAACAGGGTAGCTTATATTCCAAAAATTGTAATATAAGTTTTAATTTGTTTTTGCACAAAATTACGTGGAGTATCTACAAACAAAATTAGTGCGTATATATCCGAACACGACATTACACTAAAAAAATATTTGCATAGATAGCCATCTTAAATGACTGGCGACAAAGATCCATAATTTAACCGTCATACTGCGTTCACGTTATTTATGCATGGTTACGTCTGGTTCCAAGTGGCAATTAATAAATATAATTTTACGAATGATTTGCATTACAAGCCTGGGAGAAGAAAAAAAAAAAAACTATTCTCCACAAACGAGAAATCGATGGCACCGCTGGAAGTTATGTAGTTGCGGCTTTAGGCGGAGACTTAAAAATATGTAGTTCCGGCTTTTGGAGGAGACTTAAATTGACATTTCTACTCAGCGGCTCACGTTACGATTTCCTGAATGGCAAAAAGTCATTCAATCGATTGCCACATGGAATAAAGCAGTAAAATGTGTAAGTATGCCTTGTATTTCCTTTACAATATTCGGTAATTGATAATTTTCTCTTCCAGAAACTAAAAAGGAATCGTGTGGATCTAAAAAGTTGCACAGTGGTCATTGGTAGATGCACAAAATCCAATGGCGCATCAAACAGTTGTATTGTCGATGGCGTGTGAAACGGACTCGCCGTTCTACGCTGCCGGAGCGGCAGATGGTAAAATTGTTTTTTGCACAAATCTGCGGAAATCTATGAAATGTGTTATAATCCACATGAAAACGTCTTGTCAACAGTATCGGGGGATCATCGAGCGAAAACCTTTAATATACCACAGCTGGGCGATTAATTGCTTTAGAGGCAATAATAATTCGCATTGGCTGTAATGTTGCAGCAAATTTTGCTAGCCGTACGGCAGGAAGTTACTCCGAGTTTGCGTCGCAAAATCTGTGAATTGGTTGCTGGGGTTGCTCGCAGTTTCACTGTCGAAGATGGCAAAAAAATCAAAATCAGCACATCTGGTGTTGGTGGCCAACTTACTATATGGGATCTCGAGAATGGACTCACTAATTCCATGAACAACTTAAAAATTGAAGCTTTACTGATCAAATTGTATTCTACGTGTACTTTTGTTAAAATATATCGAATTTAATGATTCAATTTGTAATGATTTTAATTCATTACACAATTGCAAGTAGAAAACAAGAACAGTTGGCAGCCTGTGTGGATGTATGTACGACCGTGCATGCACACAGTAAGTTTCTTTGTACATACATAAATACCGACATGATGCCAGTTGGGTACCGTGTTTGCCTTTGCCACTGGTGGGCACAGTGATGTCATGATTTTGAACCATGTTGCTGCGATGGTTAAATAACACATTTTCGTGAGTAGTAAAGTGTGACCTTTTGGATTTTTAAAATATTAATTATTTGTAACTATCCTGCAACCCATTTTTTCAGAGTATTCTGCATTGTAAAGAAATTTTAAAGAACTCGCTAAGATTTAATTCGATTTTTTGCCGAATTTTCTAAAATGAAATAAACTACGTACACTTCCATTCTTTTACGAAACTTCGGAAGAAAATCTGTGAAGTAACGAAAACCATACTGCTATGTGAGGAATGTCTTAATCAAGAGCGATATGCAGTGGTTGTTGGGACATCATATATAATTATTTTGCACATGTGTATGAGAATATGTTTACGGGTGAGTGATGACCTTTATCAGTAAAGACAGCATAGGTACAGCCCTCAGGGTAAAAAAGTGTTCATAAACTTATTTATTTATTTTTCTGTTCATCCTTGAGGGCTGTAACCTACGCTACATATGTATGTATGTATAAAAACATCCCTTTTGTTATCACTGCCATATTTATTGTTTTCCAAGCTTTTATGCTACATGTCACAGTGGAATCTCGAAAATATATATTAAGTCGACCACTAAAAATCTTGAGTTCATTCGGGATTCATGATGTTTTAAGTAACATGTGAGATTAATTGAAGTTCGTATAGTGGTAATACGGTAACTAAGTTTCCCATTTTGCTATTATTGTATTATCGAGGTTTCACTGTGACAGAATTTCCTCGGTGACAGCTGCTTTATTTAATATGAAGCCTTTTGGTGTTTTTTTTTTGAAACTTCTCTTGAGGGATAGAAGTGGAATTGGTATGGGTACCGACGGAGTGGAATATTGATCGAGTTGGTGTCTCGTTGAGAAGGTTAGGTGATCACGTAAGGAGTAGAATCAAGAAGCGTTCGGTTGCTTTTCAATTCTCTCGTTGTACGGTGGGAGTAGGATAAGTTTTGCCAGCGGTCTTGTTACCTGACCCTTTCCTGTGGTGATGTCCACCACACGCACTCGGTTGTCGGAACCGGGCTGCAGGTTGATTACTCTGCCTAATCTCCATTCGTTAGGCGCTAAATTGTCCTCTCTTATAACGACGAGATCACCGATTTCCATATTCTGCTTTGGATTTTTTCCACTTAATTCGCTTCTGTAGTTCGGATAGGTATTCTGACTTCCATCGCCTGCAAAAGGTTTGATGTAAGGCCTTTAACTTCTGCCACCTATTTACCATGGAGGCTGGATTTTCATTTACATCTAATTCCGGAGGCGCGAGTAAATGACCGCCTATGAGGAAATGACCGGGAGTTAGAGGCTCCAAGTCCGTTGGCTCGTTCGATGAGGGACTTAAAGGTCGCGAGTTGAGACAAGACTCAACTCGGCATAATAAGGTACTGAGCTCCTCGAAGGTGTATTTGTGGTTGGATGCAATCTTTTTAAAGTGGTTTTTGAAACTTTTTACACCCGCCTCCCACAGTCCGCCCATGTGAGTAGCTGCTGGGGGTATAAAATGCCATGTAAGCGTTTGATGACTATATTTCGATACGGTTTTATCAGGCGCTTCTGCTATGAACGCCTTCATTTCAGATCGTAATGATCGAGAAGCTCCGACAAAATTGGTACCGTTGTCGGAGTAAATGTTTTTCGGACATCCTCTTCTACCAACAAACCTGGCGAATGTTGCCAGCAAGGATGGGGTGCTGAGATCGCTTGTCTCTTCCAAGTGAATGGCTTTAGTCGTAAAACAAACGAAAAGGCAAACGTAGCCTTTGGAAATGCGGCAACCGCGGCCGCGATAGCTCTTACTGTCAAAGGGCCTGGTAAAATCGACACCTGTGTTTGTAAACGCACGCGAGAACGTCGTGCGTTCTTTTGGTAGGTTTCCCATAAGTTGGGTTTGCGACCGTTTCTTATAGATAGTGCAGACTTTGCAGTTGTGGATGACGGACCTGATCATGTTTTTGACTCGGGGAATCCAATATTGCGTCCTAATGAGACGCAACATTAGTTGGTTTTCCCCATGCAAGGAAATCTCATGGACAAACTGGACAAGAAGGCGAGAAAATCTACAATCGTATGGAAGGATAATTGGATGGCGCTCATTATAGGCCAGATCTAGAGAAGCGCCGAGGCGACCACCCATCCTCATGATATCATCTCTATCGAGAAATGGATTAAGGGGCAAAACTTCACTCTTCGCATCGATGGATTCTCCGGATTTCAATTTACCATACTCTTCAAAGTAATATTGCTTTTGACAGATTTTTATCAAGCGTTGAGTCGTTGTTTTAATTTCATCAGCGGAAATTAAAGAAGTCTCGGCTTGGAACGAAGCTCTTGTTTTTGGATGGGTTCTTTGAAAAAATCTTATAATATACATATGATAAAACTCTCAAAGCCCTAGGCAATCCTGAAAATCTATCTAAAATGTTATTTAATTTATTTTAGTTGTCAACCAATTCGTAAGCAGGCAGTCCTCTGCTGGCTAAATCTGCTGGATTTGATGCCGAATCCACATGCAGCCAGTTTTCATTACCAACTTTTTCTACTATTTTTGTTATCCTGTGGGCGACGAAGGTCGACCACGAACAAGGCGGCTTTCGTATCCACGCGAGAACGATTGTTGAGTCCGTCCACAGATGTGATTTTAAATGTCCCAAGTCAAGATTTTTCATTACCGTCTCAATGATTTCTGCGAGCAGTACGGCGCCGCAAAGTTCTAATCGAGGCAATGAGATAGTCTTTACTGGGGCTACTTTTATTTTTGCTAAAAGTAGACTTACGACATCTTTTGCATTTTGTGTAACGCGCAGATATACAGCAGCCGCATACGCTTTTTCCGATGCGTCACAGAAGCCATGTACTTCGACGTCATCTGTTGGTGAGAAATGTACCCATCGAGGTATTCGTATATTATCGATCTCATGGTAATGATGTGTGAAACTTTTCCAGCGACCCAGGGTAGTTGGAGTTACGGTTTCATCCCAGTCCGTGCCTTCTAGCCAAATACCCTGCATTAGTATTTTGGCTACGATTATGATTGGCGTGAGCCACCCCACGGGGTCGAAAAGTTTGGCGATAGATGATAATATCGCCCTTTTCGTTGGATTATCGGTTTCTTCCAATGGTCTCGCCATAAAATAGAATAAATCCGTATGGGCATTCCATCTTATGCCGTCGACGTACATGCATATTCGTAAAATATTGGATGCTATCGGAGAGGAGTTTTCCACATCATCATCTAGTTGTAAAAGTGTCCTTATTGCCAAGTAAGGAGCACAGTTAACCCCGAAGGTGACCGTCTTCAGCTCGTAAAGACTGATCGGTTCGTTCGTATTGGTACGAAAAACTATGCGCTGGAACTTAGTTTGATTGTCATGCACCATAATTTGCCGGTACATCTTCTCGATGTCGCTGTTGAAGACGTATTTATATAATCTCCAACGTAGGATTAATATGGGAAGATCCGCCTGGAGTACTGGTCCTGGGAGCAGTACATCATTGAGGCTCACACCATTTGCCGTCGGACTTGAGGCATTAAAAACCACGCGAAGTTTTGTTGACGTGCTTTCTGCCTTGATGACCGCGTGATGAGGCAGGAAATAGTTGTCGGAGGACTCTGCTGGTATATTATTTATTAGCTTTGACATATGCCCTAACGATTCGTATTCCGATAATACCCTGTTATTTTCCTTTTGTAGTCCAGGGTTCTTGGCCAATCGCGTCTCGTTTCGGAAGAATTGTGAGCACGCTCTTTTTAGGGAGGGTCCGAGGCAGACATTTTCTGGAAAATCCTGCCTGAATGGTAGCGAAACTACATATTTCCTCTACTTCCCAGAACGCAGTAAGCTGCTTATCCAAGGCGACTTCGCTAAAGTATGAGGCAATATGGTTGGTTGCACTTGCTGGATCAGTGCGGCCGGTTAATATCCAACCGAACACGGTTTCCTGGGCTAGAAGTGTATTAAGTACATTTTTCTTCAAGCCGCTCAAAATGATTTCTGGATAAATATCTCCTCCAAGCACAAGGTCCACTTGCTCATTAACAAAGAACCTTTTATCGGCCAAAACCAAATCTGGGAATGCTTGTTTAGTTTCAGCGCTAATATGGGTAGTTGGAAGATTTCCAGTTAGTTGTGCTAGGACAAGCACAGTGGTATTCGACCGGAATAATGGGTCAATCGGTGACCGTATTTCTATATTGCATGCTTCTTTGACCTGCGCCGATATGGAATTTGTGATGCCGGAAACTTGGGCATGCAACCTTTTGGATGGCAGGTTGTGTCGGCGTTTGAGTCTTTCCGTTATAAAGGAACACTCAGACCCAGAATCAATAAGGGCTCTTGCAGAAAAATCGGTTCCATTATAATGTATATTTACGCGTGCTGTTCCTAGGAGCACACCAGTACTTGAATTTGCAAAACAAGACTTGACATTTTTGTCCCCAGTTGAATTTGGTTTTCCTGTCTTGCGTCTTGTTTGTGCTTGCTTCGATGAAGATGCTCGATTACCAGTTGAGCTTGGCGGCATTTGGTGCGCTGTAGGCTTTTGCTGGTCAGTCTCAAGGTGCAGGAGCGTGTGGTGTCGGGAGTGGCACTTGCTGCAATTAAACGAGCATGTGCATCTTGACACAGTATGTCCAGACTTAAGACAGTTCAAGCAAGAGTTATTGTTTTTCATGAACTCTATTCTTTCAGATGGTGTCATCTTTAAGAAGCGGGAACAGCTGCGTAACTTGTGCTCATTGGACTGGCACATTATGCAAGTGAACTTGGTCACGCTTGCTTGGAAAACGCCAAGTCGTTTTGGGGAGGCTTCTGGTGGTTTGTGTCACACAAATTGTGTGTGTGCTGCGGCTTTGGCGCTCTCACAGCTTTGGAATTTTTTAAGCCTGATAAAGTCTCCAACGTTTGAAACCTGTTGGATAGGAACCTGTCCATATCCTCCCACTTTGGTATATCATTTTTGTGGTCTATGGTGTGTTCCTATAGAGCCAGCGTACTTTCTGGAAGTTTGGTGGAGCAGAGGTAGACTATAATTGCATCCCAGTTTGAAACGTTAATTTGGTGACTGTTTAGGGACGATAAGCAATTATTTATATCCCGCTGCAACCTTTTTATTGAGCTACCACACTCATTTTCCACTGAATTTAAATTGAAAAGTATTTTCAGTTGTGTATTTACGAGGATACGCTTGTTTTCATATCTCTCGCATAAACTTTTCCAGGCTGTTTGGAAGCCTTCGTTTGTGAGTGGACACTTTCTCACGATGTCTTTGGCTTCCCCTTGAGTCTTTTGGTTGAGATGAAATAGTTTCTCAACCGGAGTGAGGCGCTTGTTAAGGATGTATATGGCCGTGAACATATCACGAAATGATGGCCATGACAGATAGTCACCCTTGAACACATCGGTATCACACGGAGGTAGGTGGATATTGTGTTCACGGACCGACTGATCTTGTACATCCTTTAACAAGCGTTAACAAGCGTTTCGGACTGAGTTGCCATGGCAGAGATGCATTTAACATAGCTAGCGAACGAGCTTTTATGTTTTCTCCTTATGGCCTTAATGTCTTCTTTCGATAACCCTTCTTTGTTTATTATAGTATCATACCCTTGTTTAAGTATCATAAGACCATGTTTATTTTGCTCTGCAGGTGGCGTGCTGCTAAAATCGGATTCAAATTCGATTATTGCCTCTGCCAAACGAATGAACGACTCCATGTTTAAAAATGGTACTTGGATTAAAATCAATCACAGATAAATTCGACGATGTGCTTTAATACGTGGTAGCAACCACCTTACTCTTAAACAAAAATAAATGCTTAGATTATCGAATTTGTTCGCCAAGTATTCAATAAACGAAAGTTTCTGCCGCTGAAAAAGATACCAACTCTTGTGGTCGAAACGCCAAACAGAAGAAGTAATTTCCGCAATTGAAAAAGTAGCCGTTAAATTTATATATAAAATAGTGATGGTAAAACTTTATTTAACTCAATATATTTCTCTCTTTCAATTATCAGGGATTGAAATAGGATATGAAAGCTGTATATATGCTGTGACTCGCCACCCAACTGCTATTAAATATGTGTGTAATTTGCAAATACGTTCACAAGACAATAATTATACTCGCAAATTAATACTGCAAGGGATCCACACGCAGACGTGATTTTGTGAAAAAAGTGTTATTGTTAAAGGCAAATTACCGTGCACGTTTCAGACAAAGAGGTTATGTGTCCTCTGACGATCAGTGATCATAATGTGGTTCGCGAATTTTTTGCAACTATTGCCGCACAAGTAATAAGTAATACGTTTTACTAACAATAAAAATTAAATTCGTGGTGAAGTAATCAAAAGACCAGCAGAGTCAATTACATATATTACAGATGAATTGCAACTGATAACCTCTTTTCACTGTCGTTTATGTGTGTATGTGTGTGTATCTTCAATTGTCTGTTACCAGCCGTGGACGTATAGAATCGGTTCGGGAAATTATTTGAACTAATTGAATTAAACAAATGATATCAAAGCAACTGAAAATTAATTGACTGTGGCACCTTTCACTTGTGTGATTATGTATGTAA